CGAAACGCGTCCCTCAGAAGACGAAACGTGTTCCTCAGAGAATGAAACGCGTCGACTAAGAATAGTTTTTCCTCTTTTTTATTTTTTTATTTAATCGTTATCACTCCATGCAAATCAGTAAAACCACTAAAACAAAAGGGATTACAGAATGTGGAAGAATTAGGAACAGAAATATTAATAATGAGCAGGAAGAGGAAAGAGGCAATAATCTCTCTCTCTCTTCTTCTCTCTATATATATATATATATATATATATATATATATAGAGAGAGAGAGAGAGAGATTGATTTGATCTATATAGCCTGGGGACACTGAAAGGTTGAAACCAAGATAACATGATTGGCTGATCTCATTGATTTTTTTAAGTTTAAAAGCTTTGAACGTAAAATTAGTATTTTTTATTTTCTTTATATGTGTATTGGGCACTTTTTTTAATACAAATGTTTCCTGCTCTAATTTAACTCTGACCAATAACTGTTTTATTATTGTAATTGCACACACATGCACACACACACACACACACACACACACACACACACACATATATATATATATATATATATATATATATATATATATATATATATATATATATATATATCCTTCTTCAGAGGCAGTCATCCTGTATTTTTCTCCTGATGATGGCTATGATGGCTGAAACTAGTCGAGAAACCTAATTTTAAAAAATAAAACAAAAGTATTAATATACAACCATGTGCGTCTGAAATTTTAATTTTTAACATTTTTCATTGTTCAAGACACACACATATATATATATACAAACACACACACATGCACACACACACACACACACACACACGCATACACATATATATTTTGTTATTTTTCTTAATCAATTTTCTAAGTCTACCTAGAAATTTCTCCGTGAGCTTGAACGGATCACAACGAAAACTAATCGACATATGTCTAAATTATTTATTTAACCAAACTAGTTTTAATGAAAATATGCTGCCTAAATGTACGCAATATATATATATATATATATATATATGTGTGTGTGTGTGTGTGTGTGTGTGTGTGTGTGTGTGTGTGTGTGTGTTTGGTGTGTGTGCGCGCGTGTGTGTGTGTGTGCGAGCGCGTGCGTTTGTGTGTGTGTATTATAATTTCTTTCATATAGACAAAACAATTTACTCACTACAAAGATGCAACTTCGTTTTAGTGCATTTAAAGTTGCACTTTGACAAATGAGAACTAAAATGGTTATGAACAATTCTGTTTGTAAGCAGGCAGCATGTGAAATGTCACTTCCTTTTTACCATTTGTTTGAAAAAAAATAGAAAATTAAAAAAACTACATAAAGGCAAAAAGGTGACGTAGTGAAACAATAGTGGTCGCTGATAGCAGTTTGGTGAATGATGGTTGAGATGCTAAAATAATGGCTAGATCTGAAAAATTTATTTTTGACAACAACGGTCAAGGGTTTAGGCACAGCATTTCCAAACCTTCTAAGAGTGGGGAGTGAGTGAGAAGAGGCGAGAATAGGAGATAGTAATACGATGAAAGAGCAAGGAGGGAAAGATTCAAACGATAGTTTTAGTAGTAATTGGCAATGTTTTGGGGGGTTATTTTAAAAACTAAGTCAGATCTGAATTGCATATATTTACGTTGGAGTTATCACTACTAGTTTTGTAATCAATAAAAGTGTTTTGTAATCAATAAAAGTGTTTTGTAATCAATAAAAGTGTTTTGTAAATTAATAAATTAAGAGGTAGAGATTTCTTCTTGGTATGTTGCATACATAAGTTATTCGTTTTTCTTTTTTAAAAAAAATAGTTTTAATTTAAAAATTAAGATATAAGTAGAAAGGTATATGAAAGTATGGGATATCAATATAACATTTATAAGTAAATGTTGACCTATTGTCGGGCTGTATAACGTGTATAATAAGCGTGGGTGTAAATCAATTTACCTGAAAGTATTACTCGTATTGTATATGCGCAAAAACATTTTAAGAATCATAATCTAAGATAGATTAGTGGAATGGTATGTAAGAGGGTAGAAAGTATATCAAAGGAGGTGAGTTAAAATTTTAAAGGTTTAAGGTTATGGATTTAAAAGTTTAGCAAAATCGTATTATTTGATCTTTAACATGTCAACAAAAAATGGTGGTTTCATATCTTTGATTTAATAATTAAGTGTTGTTCAAAAGTTTAGTTATACATATTTTTTCCTGTAAACATAAAAAAACAAGGTTCGTTCAAAGATTTGCAAGTTCTGGCTTGTTTTAAGATTTTCCATTTAACCTTAGATGTTTTTCCTTCCTCCTTCCTTTTCCAAAAAGATTTAGAAAGTGATGTCATATTTTGCTTGCCTGCATTTGTAAACTAGGATATGTGATTGCAATATCGATCTTTAAAAGGTCTTCTAGTTGATCCAACATACGATTTAATAACCCTGGGGTTCTCATTTGATGAGATGTATATATATATATATATATATATATATATATATATATATATATACAATGGATTTCGTTAAGCACCTTTTTGATAATAGACATTGATCGGGGATTCTGCAATTGCATAGCTCTTTTACTTGGGGTATATTAGAATTTTGGTTTGGGTTGTGTTTATTCTCGTTATGAAGTTTCAATATTCTATTGTTGTGTGATTTAATAATTTGATCTAGATTCCTAGAACAGCTATAACTAATTTTTAGGCTATTGCAGTTGAAGATTTGACTTAATTTGCTCTTCGTAGGAAAGTGTTTAGAATTAGATTTAAAAATTTGTGTCCCAATTTTGTACGGACTAATTTGTTGAAGGGAGGTGTATACTAAATTATTCTCCTTCGTCTATTCTTTCTTTCTTTATTTTATTTTTTTTTTTTTTTTAAAAATAGCTATAATTTTCCCTATATTTAGAGAAATGGGAGAAAGAGAAGACATGAGTGAGTTATCAGATATTGACACATTTAAACTCACTCAGGTCTTCTCTTTCTCCCCTCACTTCCTCACTTCGTTAATTTACATATGTTTAATACGGCCCGTCAAAATGTGTAAATTTTTCTTCATTTTTGTTTGGAAGTAAAGTCTGATGATCCGCAGTCCTTTTAAAAGGGCTGTGGTGAAATAATTTATTACATGGACCCTTAAAGTGGTCTGTTTTATTTAATATATATATATATATATATATATATATATATATATATATATTATTTCAAAAGTTATTTTAGTGAATACTTTCGTATTTGAAATAAACGCCACGTTTATTTATTAATCAGTTTGTCTTACGTTTAACGGCCTGCACATTCGACAAGTCTTTGTAAAGAAAATGTGGAAGAGAAATTAAAATGTCTACTTGACAAACCAACACTGACTGGTTTCTTAGTTGACGTGTGGTTTTTTGATTAGTTTCGTTTTTTTTTTTGTTTTTTCGCTGCTATTATTAACCGAAGAGCCACCCATGATAGAAGTTTAGAGGATGATGTTGATTTATGGGCGTAAATGAAATAAACAAGAATTGCAGATTATAAATACATGTAGAATAAATAACGGTTGACTCTAGACTCAGTGGTTAAGATTGTAATGGTCAGATAAAGATCCTCCCGGGAATCTGTTCCACAGAGCAGCGGGTTTTGGGAAGAATGCACTCCGAACAGAACTACCTCCTTACTAATGAAATATGACGGGAATGAAGACGAGTCATCCCTGTGTACGTGACATGGTGGATTTTAGATGTAAAGGTCTGAACAGGGGAAATTAAAGAACATTTGTCATGGAAGTTTCGCATGTGGTAACGATATCGAAGGCAGATTTTATCGGCAGAGTGGAAGGGGAATTTTTACGTATTTATTTTGAATAAACATGCCAATGACTCACAGTGCTCGATTCATAGAAGAGTTTTGCATTATATTAATGTTTCAGACTGCTTCGTTGCATTACAGCTCATCGGTGTGGCTAGACATCCAATTGACTCAAGCCAGGATCGAAACCTGTGCAAAGTCACAAACGCTGATTAAAAAAATACTATAAGAGAAATTCTATGTGGTTGAATTATTGCAATTATGAACATGCTCGTGAATATAACATCATTAAATTTGGCAGATTTTATCGGCAGAGAGGCAGATGAAGTTTTACGTATTTATTTTGAATAAACATACCAATGTCTTAGAGTGTTCGATTCATAAAAGAGCTTTGCATTATATTTATGTTTCAGACTGTTTCGTTGTATCACAGTTTATCAGTGTGGCTAGACATCCAATTGCCTCAAGCCAGGATCAAAACGCAACAGATTTGGCAGATTTTATAAGCAGTGAGGAAGATGCATTTTTACGTAGTTATTTTGAATAAACATGCCAATGATTCAGAGTGATCGATTCATAAAAGAGCTTTGCATTATATTAATTCATCACCCACAAGGCCGTGTAGACATTTTCTTTTTAACTCTGTCGAACCTGGAAAAGTGAAGATTAGGTAGTTCCAGTCCAGATATGGCAGCAATACATAATTTTTAAGCAATACTGGTTTTCTTAAAACTGCTTTTGCCCTAACCATTCCGAAAGACTGCTGTCTGGAAAGAAAAAAATGGAAAAATACGTGCTCTCGTATTTTCGGGTTATTCGTGCTATTGCAATTCGGTTACGGCTTAAAATATGTTTGCTGGAGATAGTTTGCGCGTAGTTGTCATGTAAAACATACCAATGTGAACAGGTAGAATTTGAAATGAAGAGGAGAAGACAGAAACGGAAAAGTTACTTGGCAAACTATTTCGAAGAAAGGCCCGCCAAAATATCCCCAAATAAAAACAATACAAATTTCGT